TTTTGTTTTGTTTTTTTGCTTTTTTTTTTTTGGTATTTTTTTGGTTTATATGATCAATGATTGTTGTGGTTGTTGTTCGTTGAGGGGTTGGGTTAGAGTTTTTTTATGCATGTTGTTGCTCGAAATTGGTGTATTATATATATGTTTTACAAATTTTGAGACAGGTATGGTTTGGGATGTTGATTTTTTTATTCTTTAAAGCTGATGCAATGTTGAAAGAAAAAATGGTCTAATTATATATATATATATATATATATATGAGTTTGTTATGCAGCTTTTATTTTGAATTGTTTATTCAAATAAGTTGGGATTTTGCATTTAGGGTTTTTTTGAATTGTTTATTCGGATGCAATGTTTGGCTTCTATCTTTATTTTGAATGGCTGATGTAATGTTTCATTAAGGTTTACTTTTAATTGTTTATTCAACTTTGATCACTAGGGTGTATTTTATTAGTATTGATGTTTTATATGGTTATTGTATCGCTTCTATATGGTAAAAAATATTCTGACTCCTGATTATGGCGATCTTTACACTTTGGAAGTGCCATCTCTGCCACTACAAATTAATGAAGGATTAGACCCGAGGTTAGAGGAGTTTATGTTGGGTGACGCTGATGAAGTACCCAAAAACACGTGCCTCATTCAGTTCGCCGATTCGAGTTTTTAATTCGAGCTGAGATGTGATTTTATGTGAGACCTTTTAACTGTAGTAAAAAAATTAGATGTGACTGTTTTTTAGAGCTTTTAACTATAGCAAAACTAGAATTAAAAACTCGAATCGGTAAAAACTCGAATCAATCCGAGCTTATTCTTGAACCTGTTATAGTGATAGGGACCCATGTCGAGGCTGTGATTGAGACTGAAGTTCTACGCGAGAATATTGATCAAGTGGCCGAGCATGATGTTGTTATTGAGGCCGAGGGTGAAGATGTTGGTAGCAATGAGAATGAAGAGGAGTTGAATGACTTCACACGGCTAGTGAGTCTGACGAAGAGGGTGAGCCACAACCAAAATTAAGGAGAAGACGAAGACAAGAATATAATCCTGAAGTAGACTCTCATGACCTTAAGTTTCGCGTTGGCTTAGTATATAGATGCGAAAATCAACACTTCTTTGGACAGCACTTTCTGTTTTTGTTATGTGCTGCCATCTTATTTTGGTGATGTGCTGCGCTTAGGGTAGATTATTGCACATATAGGCTGCACATGTTTTCTTTTGGTTAGCTGCATATAAAGTGCGTAGGAAATAGCACAGTGACGGTGTGGTAAATTTATTGTTTTTAGCGGCCCCTTTTGATGTTAAACAGGTACATATGAATGAAATCTAGAAGCTCTTATAGATTTGATGTGGTTTTTTAATCGAGTTTTTGGACCGTTTAGTTCGCTGATTCGAATTTTTAATTCGAGTTTTGATGTGATCTTATGTGAGAGTTTTTTATTGTAATAAAAAAGTTAGATATGACCGTTTCTGAGAGCTTTTTACTGTAGTAAAACTCAAATTCTAAACTCGAATCGGTGAAATGAACGAAAGTCTTAATAAATATTATCATTGTTATCATTTTTTTCGGCTCATTGTCGTCATTTGTTAAAAAAGGTTCCATTATGTTGTTATCATTGTTTGTTAAACAGGTTTCATATTAGAGCAAAAAGAGAAAAAGATATATATATATATATATATATATATATCCAAATGCTTATTCAAGCAGGTTCCAACAGCCAAATGCTTATCAATACATCAACCAGACATTTAAAAAAAAAAAAAAAAAACCTTACAAAGTTGGTCTAAAACAAGATTCTGATTAGCATTTAAAACTATACATTACAAAACAACTAAACTCTAATTTTGTCAATACATGACTTTTTCCTCTTACAATACATGATCTGCAGCAAAATAAATTTTTTCCTCACACTAATGCTATGTTTGATAGGAAGAAAAGAAAATATGATAGAAAGAAAATATGAAAGTGATGAAAAATAGCAATGATAGAAAGGAAATTAATTTTCTTTTATGTTATTTGGTATGAGAAGATGGAAAGAAAATGAGATTACTTTCACTTGTTTGGGTATTGGAAGTTAAATTGGGAGGAAAGAAAAAATCTTATTCGTAAATTACTTTTATACCCTTAAATTTTTTGCTTGGATGTTGATGAAAAAAAGGATAATTTAGTAACTTTGCTCACTTTAATGAGTTGTCCCCATTTTTTATCCTATTTTCTGCCCAAAAAAAAAATAATGGGGTCCACATGTATTATTTTTCACTTTATTTTCTCTTCCTTTCTCTTTTCTCTCCTACCAAACAACCTACATTTTCATTTTTCCTCCTAAAATCCCTCCACTTTCTTCCTTCCTTATACTTTTCTTTCCTACCAAACATACTCTAAAGAAGAAAAACAAAAACGTGCATATTCAGGACACATAAACCCATCAAACTAAGCTGTTCAATATTCATATTCGTAGGATTTGCTCTCACTTAGAACATAACAAACCAACATTACATAAATGCAAAAAAATATCCACTTCCAGGATGTGCTCTCTCTTGAATTCAGTGCCATTGCCATAGCTTTCAACTGATCTTCCAAAAACTTTTCTCTCCCGCGGTGAATCTGTTCAATTTCCTCTAATTGAGCCTCTAAATCATTGATGTTTTCAGCAGCTTAGGTATAATAATCTTTGATCTTCGACACATAGGAGGGTCTTTCCATACAAAATAATCACAAGGAACACACCCTTCCCGCTGGACCAGATTAGAGAAGAAATTACTTTAAAAAAATACTGAAATTCCCAAATTTGAACAGGTATAACAACCAAAACAAAACTTACCCCATATAATTGGTATCTAAAGAACCTATGCCCAGGATTCAAGTCCCTCCACGCAGTTAACACCTTGGTTGGCTTCGGATTCTCACAGGAGCAAGAGGGGGTTTTTTCCATCGCGATTCCAACCTCTAATTTGCAGCCCCAATTGGTAAGTTTCAAGATCAAAACAAAAAAAAAAAAAAAAAAAAAAAAAAAAAAAAGAAAAAAAAACCATAGCTTCAATGACTACATAATACCCAAATTTCCTCAAAACTCAATCGGCTATTTAGAACTTATTCGGTTGTATTTTTGAGTTACGTGATTTGAGTGTAGATTTTAAGTTGAATTTGAGTTATAATTTAAGTTGAAATTATAATGCATAGAAAAAAATTGGGTGAGGTTTTATTTGTCTCTTTGTTATGAACGCATAAAAAAAATTATCTCAATCAGAATTAAAACGAAAAAGTTATGATGTTTTTAAGAATATAAAAAATATTATTCATTAACTTGAATTTTAGTTAACTTGAGTTGAAGAGAAATTTGAACTCAAATTTTAGTCACAAACTCGAGTTAAAACTCAAGTTGAAACTTAAATTTTACAAATGAACATGAACTTAAATAAAGTTGTAACTTGAGTTCAATTTTTTTTTTTGAGTTTTATTCTAAAAGAACAAGCCCTTAGATTTATGAAAATCCCCGTTTTTGTCACGTGCCAATTTCCATAATAAAACTGATAAAATGTGACAGAAATGACCTAATTGCACATGATTAAAGACGTTAGGAGGTGTTTTTTCAAAATTAAAAGAATTGAGACCAAATTGCTACCAACTAAAAAGATTATGGATCATACTCTAGTTTCAAAGAAAGACTATGTTGTAATATTTTTTAGCCTCATAAGAAAATTTTCTAGTGTAAGTATCTCTTTCAGTACTGCATGTTTTTAAATGTTAAATTTGATTAAAATTATTTCAAATAAAGAAAATACAAAACCACTATAACATATTAATTAAAAATATAACTCTATCGATTCATTTATTTATTTTTTAATTTTTAAATCGTACTTATAATTCTCCCCCAATAAAAAAAGGGTAAGAGTGCAAAAAAAAAAAAAAAAAAGAAGTAAGATAGCCTCATAAAAAAATTTTCTAGTGTAAGTATCTCTTTCAGTACTGCATGTTTTTAAATGTTAAATTTGATTAAAATTATTTCAAACAAAAAAAATACAAAACCACTATAACATATTAATTAAAAATATAACTCTATCGATTCATTTATTTATTTTTTAATTTTTACATCGTACTTATAATTCCCCCCCAAAAAAAAAAGGGTAAGAGTGCAAAAAAAAAAAAAAAAGAAGTAAGACAGCCTCCCCCACTCTCTTTCCTTTTTCATCTTTTGTTTTTTTTTTTTTTTTCATTTTTAAGTTTCAGAAAGGGAAAAGCAGCATACTAAAAAGTGCGTTTGATTGTAGTAAAAAAATGATAATGATAACGAGAATGAGAATGATAATGGTAAGAGAATGATAATGATAATGGTAATAGAATGAAAAAAAGTTGATTAATTTGTTTAGTTGTAATTTTAAAAATACTATAAAATGGAACATGAATATTTTTATGTTGATAAAATTACCCTTATATTATATATAACACTAATATTTTATATATCAATATAATTAATATAATATATGTAGTTACAAAATAATATATTATTATTATTATATTTAATATAATACAATAAAACTATTATTATATAACATTACGATATAGAATATAATAATATTATTAAAATGATTAATATAATTATAATATTATAAAACATATGACAAAATTATATAAGAAATAATAATGTTTTATAATATAATTAAAAATTATTTTTAATATATATTAATATATATTATATAATAATTATATAATATAATATAATTATATTATAATATTAATAAATAATTATGAAAAAAATGAAAAAAAAAAGATTTTAAAATGATTATTCTTCTTATGTGATAAAAAACTGATTATTCACTTAAAATAAATAAATATCTATTTTTTTAATGACTATTCTTTTTTTATAAATTTAAAAACATAAAATTTAAATTCTATTATATTATATTCATTTTCTTTTCACTCAACCAAACCCAACCCACTGAGTAATTTCTCCACTTTTAAATACTTTGCACAGACAACGACATTTCGAAAGCTGCGTAAAAAATACCGCGTATTTACCTACCTCTCTCCCTCTCTCTCTCTCTCTCTCTCTCTCTCATCAATCCCGATCTCATCACCACCAAACCCCCTCAGCTGATTCCGCTCAGACGTCCTTTTCTCCCCCGATTCATGGTAACCTTTCCAAGCAAATAATGGCAATCTCAGTCCACGCACTCTTCAAAGAACGCAAATACCCCTTTGTCTTCGCCCTCACCGTCCTCCTCTTCTCCGTCCTAATCCTCCTCTTCACCAGCACCTCCCAATATCCTCACTTTCTCTACTCCAACATCCAAACGCCACAACAACCTCTCCCTCTCTCTTCCCCTGCCGCATCCAAACAGCTCCCTAATCTGGCGCCGGAGCTCGCGCCTCCGCCGGAGAAGAGCCACGAAAACGACGCCGTTTCGGCTGACAATGGGACCTCCGTTGATGAGGGATTTGGGTGGGACCTCTGTGAGGGCCCAATGGGGGTCGATTACATTCCGTGCTTGGACAATCTGCTGGCGATCAAGGCCTTGTCTTCGCGGAGGCACATGGAGCATCGCGAGCGGCATTGCCCCGCGCCGAGCCCGAGGTGTTTGGTGCCGCTCCCGACCGGGTATAAGGCTCCGGTTCCGTGGCCGAAGAGCCGGGACATGGTGAGATTGATACTTCGGTAAGGTTTGAAAAACAGATTTTGTTTGGAAAAAATGAATTAATCGAAAAACGAAAATTTCAATTTCAAGGATGTTTAGGGATTTTGGACCGTTTTGATGTCTGAATTACGTTGAAATGGTAATTTCTTTTGTTCTGTGTTCCTTTTACAGGTTTGGTATGACAATGTTCCCCATCCAAAGCTTGTTGACTACAAAAAGAATCAGAATTGGGTTCGTCAGTCTGGGGATTATTTTGTTTTTCCTGGTGGCGGAACTCAGTTCAAGGAGGGAGTTGGTAACTATATAAAGTTCGTAGAAAAGGTAAAGAATTATCTTGTTTTTTGCCTCAAAGTAGAATTTTGAACGGTCATAGCTAAAGCTTTTGTCTGTCTATGGATGTTCTCTGCCTTTGGTATCTATTAGACTCTTCACTGTGCTTATTATAGTCCTGTTTCTAGTTCACATTTTTGGGAAAGTTGTATGTCATATAAGGTGGAGTATTGTGGTGTTTTTTCAGCCTAAAAACATAATTCTGATTGGAGTTAGCTAATGCATTTGTCTTTGTGTATATTTACTTTTTGTGCATATGTTACTCTGTTCAACGTGCTAAATATATGGCTAGTTTTAGTAATTACATAATTCACATTCATGTTTTTGGGAAGTTTCCAATGTATGGCTTTTCCTGGTGGATTTCTACCAGTAAGAATTCCTATAATTGACAATTGTTATAGTTGCTAAGAGATTTGACTGTAGTAGCTACTATTTAGGAGACACGTGTGTATTTGTTTTCTTTTCTGGCATTTACTTGAGGTTGATTGCTAAGCAAAAGTTGTCACAGTCGGCTAACGTATCGATTTTGCTGGCGGAGGCTGGTGCATTTGGTGGTACATTTCTTTTGGTAATTGTGACATTTTTGCTGTACTTCAGACTTTGCCAGCCAATAGATGGGGAAAGAATATCAGGGTTGTTTTAGATGTCGGCTGTGGTGTTGCTAGCTTTGGCGGCTCTTTGCTGGACAAAAATGTTCTTACCATGTCATTTGCCCCGAAGGATGAGCATGAAGCTCAGATACAATTTGCTCTAGAACGAGGAATTCCTGCGACTCTCTCAGTAATTGGAACTCAAAAGTTGACATTTCCAGACAATGCTTATGATTTGATTCATTGTGCACGATGCAGGGTTCACTGGGATGCAGATGGTACTCGTTATTTAGCTAGTTACAGTTTTTAGTGTGGAATCTGATGCTATCTTATATATCTACTTCTGTCTTAATTTGATGATTTTGATTGAAAATTATAAGGTGGAAAACCATTGTTGGAGCTCAATAGGGTTCTTAGGCCTGGTGGTTTTTTCGTGTGGTCTGCCACACCGGTGTATCGCAAAGATGAAATACATCGCAATAAATGGAAATGTTCGTATTTTAAGCCTATCACTTACTGATCTGAAACTATAAATGTCATTAGAAGATTGAGCCCGAAATATGTTGCATATGTACTTGTTTTTCTTGCAGCTATGGTGAATCTGACAGAATCATTGTGCTGGAAGGATGTTTCTAGGACTGTTGATTCCAATGGAATTGGGCTTGTTATATTTCAGAAGCCTGACTCGTATTCATGCTATGAGAAACGCAAAAAAAACTATCCACCTATGTGTGACGATAAAAGTAGGAAGAACAATTCATGGTAATATTCCATACTCATGATCATATTAAATTTTAGGAGAGAGGATGGGATGATTATGGGCTTTATTTCAATTCTGGAGTTGGGTTGGCCAGACTTTATATGAAATCAAAGTTGGATGAAAATTGAACACGTCATTTATGTTTTCTTTCTACACTGTTTGATAGGTATGTGCCTCTCAGTAGTTGTCTTACCCAACTTCCAGTTGATAGCATGGGTAACGTGTACAGCTGGCCCACTCCTTGGCCCAAGAGGCTCAAGAGTAACCCTGTAAGCTTATCAAATGAGCAAAATGCTATCGAGAAGTTCTACGAGGACACCAAGCATTGGTCTACACTTGTGTCAGATGTTTATCTGCAAGGTCTTTCTATAAAATGGTCGAGCGTGAGGAATGTCATGGACATGAATGCAGGCTATGGAGGGTAAGCCTATGTAGTTGGTTAGCAATTTATATAACAAATTTCCCATGTTTTTGTCTTCCCTTTTTTCTTTCTTGTGCTTTCTTCGATCTTTAATATGCAAATAAATGAACGGATCTATAGACTGATTGTGGATTTTCTTTCCTAGATTTGCTGCAGCACTTATTGATCAGCCTCTATGGGTAATGAATGTTGTCCCCATTGACATGCCAGATACTCTGTCTGTTATATTTGACAGAGGGTTAATTGGAGTATACCATGACTGGTGCGAGTCTTTTAATACATATCCTCGAACATTCGATCTACTACATTCCAGCTTTCTCCTTGGAAACCTTTCACAAAGGTATACTATGTCTTTCACCTTCCCTACCCTTGAAACCTATTCCTGTTTGTTGACTCCTACATCATTTGGATTATGGGCGTAATTATTGTTTTTCGTATCTGGGTTTATTTTTTTATTTTTTATTTTATCTGGTTCACAATGGTTATGGTAAGCTGAAATTTGCAATTTCCTTTGTCAGATGCGACCTTGTAGAAATTGCCACGGAGATAGACCGCATTTTAAGGCCAGGTGGATATCTACTGGTTCAGGACACAATGGACAAGATTAACAAGCTTAGGCCAATCTTGGAATCACTTCATTGGTCTCTAACCCTCCATCAAGATCAGTTTCTTGTTGGCAAGAAGGGTTTCTGGCGTCCAACAAAACAAGTTTAATTGGCATTGCTGGTCTTTTGCACCATAAAATCTTCATTGGTTGCCCATTAATATGGCCTATTATCAAGTGTAAGGAACAGATGAGAGAAGGGTTTACACGCTCGAAAGTGATATACCCTAAAGATACAAAGATCTTACATTGTACTAGTACAAACGTTGATGACCAATCATAATTTATTTTACATTGCACTGTACAATCTTAATTGGTTGCCCACCGATATGGCCCCGTATTCGTTTTCACTATCTTAAGTGATATACCCTATAGATACTAAAATTTTACATTGCACCAGTACTAAAAAATTGATGACCAATTTGGCTGTTTTTTCCCCTCCGGTCATGTTGTTTAACTAATCGTACTCATTCTTTCTTGCTAGTATTTGCTTTTTGCAATGATTTGGCAATAACGAGCTAAAAACAAATTCCAAAATAATTATGTCAAGATTCTATACAAGCCATACCGTAGATTTCAATTACAATGACGAAGAAGCTCCCTTAGTAATGAGGAACTCTGCAATATCATGGTGTCCCATGGCTGTGGCCATGTATAGAGGCGTAGCACTCCTATTGTTCTTTATATTTATATTAGCTCCTTTAATGACCAAGGCAACTACGGTGTCCAAGCTTCCACCAACCACGGCCAAATGCAGTGGTGAGTGCCCTTCATTGTCCGGGGATTCCAAGTCCAATCCAAATTCAATAAGCATCAGAACTACGTCCTTGTGGCCTTTCATGGCAGCTGCGTGAAGAGCAGTCAGGCCATATTGGTCACGATGGCTTATGGTTGCACCAGTCTTCAATAGTGATTCAAGATGCCTTGAGTCGCCGCGTCTCGCTGCCATCAGCACTGCCTCTCCCCTCTCTAGAATTTCCACCACTTTACTCTGCATTTTCATGCACAATGCCTTGGTTAGTCTGGCAAGTTAACAATCTTTTGATGTTCAATTATGTTAAGCCAGAAACAAAAATGTCAAGAAGACTGTAATTTGTAAAGATAACATGCCGTGTATTTATTATTTGATTTCATATATGAAATTAAGAGCCTAAAAAAACGTAACAAACAAAAACGAGTTTCTAATCTATGCAACAAAATTTTTAGAAATCTAAACAGTAACTTTTAAGCGTCCGAATTTTTATGCCACAAATTTTTTAGGTCCTTTTCTTTTTTTTAAAGCACTTCATTTGTAAACGTTCATGTGACTAATGAGAAAATTTATCATTTTATGTCTATTTATTCACTTGCAATAATTTATGTCTCTATGAGACCATTTATCTCATTCTCCTACGTTGGACGATCGTAATCCTGCACGGACGTGTCATTATTTGCGCCTCTATATGCAATAACATTGCCCTATAGACACAAGTCTTGTATATATCTACTTACGTGCCCTTTATCACGTGCAACATCAATTGGCAATCGTCCACGATCATTAGGATTTGTGGGGTCCGCACCCATCTCCATCAGCATCTCCACCATCGGACGGTCCCCGTTCGCCGCCGCTCTATGCAAAGCCGTGCGACCGTCGCGGCTCCTAGCGTCCTTGTCCGCACCCGATTCCACTAGCACCCGCGCGCACCTTATATTCCCCTTCTCTGCAGCCACATGCAGAGGAGTCTTCCCCTCCCTATCCCCGCGATCCAACGACCCACATCCCCTCATCGTCCTCACGAGCTCCACAACCTCATCCGTCCGATCAAGCGCCGCCGCCGCGTGTAGCGCGTCCCATCCCCTACTCGCCCTCGCGTCGTCTGGCTCGACGCGCGCCCCAATCTTCAGCCCGGATTCCAGAAGCAAGTTCAGCATGCTCTCCGGGTCGGCCAACTCGGTGGCGACTCGGAGGAGCGACTCCGATTCCGTCGGCGGCAACTGGGAGAGAATAGACTTTTGCCGTTTGATTATGTTCCTGGCGGCGTCGTAGTCGCCGCGGCCGACGGCGTGGCGGAGGAGAAATGGGCCGACGAAGGCGACCTTGAGCTTGTGGTCTTGGGTCGGCGGCGCATTGGCGGACCGGGAGGCGAACCAGGAGGTTACAGTGACGGACTCGGGGTGGTGGGCCGGGCCGGGAGTGGAGGGGAATTGGGCCGTCTTGATGAGGAAGCGGTCGGAGGGGGAGCGTGGGTAGGCCTGGGGAAGTTGGGCCTGGGGCTTGAGGATGATTTGGAAGGTGCCGTAGGATAAGGGAGGTATCAGTCCGCTGGGAGGGTTGACCATGAACTTGTGGGGTGAAGAGGTTTGGACTTTGAAGGCTACAGGGGAGGTGGCGCACAGAGACCTCAGGCGCACGTTAGCGCGGCATTTGCAGTTGAGAGCGAAGTCTATGCGCACCTCTTGGTCTGAGACTTCCACCAAGCTTTCCATTGAGAGAGAGAGAGAGAGAGAGAGTATGGAGTTGAGAGACTAATATGTGGTTTTGCTTGGGAAACTCACGTGAATGTACTGGTCCCAAACGGAAGAACTTGACAAGCTGGTGTTGGGGAAGAGACAAACAGCTGGTTTTTTTTTCTTTTTCTAAAATTAAATTAAATGTAGTTGGTGGATGTTATATGTTACTGTTTTTTTATATGGAATTAGACGTGTTTTCAGCCACTTAAGTATGAACATATAATTTTGGGACAGATGATTTGAGAGGTTAGTTAGATGTTATGCTCATACTTCGTGTTGAATCTCAAATATGGCGTTGCATTTATTTGGACTTCCATTTCTCTTGATGTTTTGCAATGTCCTTAGTTAACGTGCACATACGAGCTTAAAATTTCGTTAGAGCTAAATCATAATAAAAGATGTTAGCCATTTTATTCTCAGATAAACAATAACATTTTTCAAACTATGAAGAACTACGTTTTGTTTTTGTTTTTTTTGTTTTTTTTCCGGGACCAAGTGCGTCAAAGATTTATTTTTCAAAATGAAGTACTTATTATCAGTTTTTGTGTTTTGCGCGAGGACTAATTACTAGTTCTAAATTCATTATGCTACTCTACATAAAGTTAGCAGAAAGGCCACAAAAAATCCAGTAATGACACCCTACACTTGAGATTTAAAACTCCTTATAAAATCGTCTATTTTATCGCGATCGATCACAAAAAGATAACTTTACCCTCCAACTTAGTAGTATTAGAACTAAAGAAAATACACCATAAAATAAGTAAATAAATGAAACCACTAATTAGCTCTCATGATTTCAGAGAAACATATCGAATCAATACTACTATACACAAAACTCCAACCCAAGTTAATACTGCCTTCTTGTCTTCTTTTACGACCATTCTATATTTCTGTTTGACTGCAAAGACAATCCAGTTCGTCTTCAAAAATGGGCTTAGACACTCGCCAAATATCCATCCATTAGAGCTTACGATGTGGATATTGATAAGTTTCCGTCATTGGTGTGTCTAAATCTGCTTTTAGTTACATGTTTTGTCATTAAATTGATGATTTCGCGCTAGCTATATTTGATTACTCGCTGATGTTTTACTTTCTTTGACTGAATGAGTGAGATTTGGAAGCTAATTTAACCAATTGCACATAAAATACATTTTCTAATTTCTCTTTTAAAATTATGTAATTGTATCTTATCTTGTTGCCCTTCTTTTAAAATCCTTTTTAATGTGTTTGAAAAACTTTATTAAAACGTCAAATTTGTCATTTGCTAAAGAGAGACCGTTGAATTCGTCATTCTCAATGGCGTTTGATATTCAAAAAAATTAAAATGTTGGGAGTGATTTACAATAACCTTATATATAATCGTGTAATTTTACAATTTCTCTAAGATTCAAGGACTAAACACGAATTATTTTTCGTTCGTTTATGAAGGTTACACAGCTCTGAGAGAGGGGAGGATGAAAATTTTTAGTGATTCTGTGGGCCCTAGTAGTATCAAGAGAACCTGTTATAACAGCAAGTGCTAATATCCACCACTGTCACAAACACCCACCAATTATCCTCCCCATACACTCCACGTGTCACCCAATTACTACGCCTTTCAAGGAGAAAAACCGTACGTCACATGTAACTTTATGCTTACACCTTCCGTCCCTCACGAAGCTCATGTTAATGGCGCGCAGTGTTGAAACTCGAGAGCGACTCACAACAAAGCGCACTCGTAGCTCCTTCTGTTCTGTTGCTCTTCTTCACCGCCATTAAATCTCTTAACCATTCTTTCCTCGTCTTTCTGTAATCTCCTTTGTCACTCTCACCGGCGACGAAATGTTCTACTCTCGCCAGCTTCTCGCTCGCAAAGCTCCTCTTGGCCAAATCTGGTAATCGAATTCCAACTCCGTTTAGCTCCTGTACGATTTCCATAGCATAGTGTTTGTTTGCTGTGAATTTCATCCGAGAAAATTTCTTTTGAATTTACGTTATGAATCTAACTCTGTTGTATGATGAATCTCTGCTCGAATTCAACAATGTAGGAGAGCCGCGACGACGCACATGAAGATTAATCGGAGGAAGCTCAACAAGCTTGACATTATCAAGATCTGGTGAGCTTCACAGTTTTCAGGAGCTCAAATTCACACTGGAACTTGCTTAAACTAATTAAACGTTCTGTTTTGGAATTTTCTTTTTACAGTGAGGAGATACTGAATCCGTCGGTTCCTATGGCTCTGAGGCTATCTGGAATTCTCATGGGTAATTAGATTTGGTTCCTGAGTTTTCTTAAGTAATCTCAGTTTGTTAAGTTTCCGATCAGGCAATTACAGAAACCGTTTCTTTGTGTTCTTCAAATCGCTTTTTCAGGTGGAGTAGTGATCGTCTACGAACAAAAAGTTAAGCTGCTACACGGTAACTAGGAAATTCCTTTCTTCTATTAGGTTTGATTTTGAAATCGAGTTTGAATTGTCAATTTCTTAAGCTAAATTCTGACGAACTTCTTGAATTGTATACTCTGCATTTCCCGCCAGATGATGTGAATCGCTTTCTGGTAATTTGTTCAACTTCTGAAAAATTATTTTATTTTATTTATTTATTGTAATTGTAATTATTTTAAGTTAGTGAATCGCTTTCTGGTAATTTGTTCAACTTCTGAAAAATTATTTTATTTATTGTAATTGTAATTATTTTAAGTTATATTTGAATTTTGGTATTGATTCTCAGATTGAAATCAACAATGCATGGAAAGTGAAAGCTTCTCCAGACTCTACTCTGCTCCCCAGAGGAAAATCCCAGGCTAAGTCAGACTCATTTTAGAAACAATAGTGTTTTTAACATTTTCTTTTCGCATTAATTGAGTTTAAGTCTGAAGAGCTATCTATCTTTTTGGTGGCGAAATTTCTATGTTGAGAATTTGGTATCTGAATTCCGAGTGTATCATAATGTTTTGCAGGAAAGAAGCTGTGACTTTACCTGATAACCAAGATGTTGATTTTGGAGACACTGAGCAGTCCCTTAATTATTCCAACACCGCTGCCATGGGGTTCCAAGAAACGAACTACTTTGCTATGGTAATAAAATTGAACACCAGTCTAAAGTAAACAACCCACACTAGGAAATTACTCGATAAATCAATTGTGGCAATAATATTAGAAGGTGTTTGATAGAAAGATGCTTCAATGCATCAGCCCTGGCATGGATCAGTCCATACTCACAGTTTTGCTTTGTTTTGTCCTTTTGTTTTCCATAATTTCAAAGACAGTTTTGTTGGCATGGCACATATAATTCCGACTTCTATGTATAACAACTTATTATTAAGTTCAGTCTTGGTCTTGATGGTCCGGTTAAGTCATTTCTTGCGGTTTAAGCTAATGGACAATCTAAGAGCAAGATAAGTCGCTCAAAGTTAGATAGCTAGCCTGGCAACATGATTTACTATGGTGCAGCGCAAAAAACAAATGCCTTGAACGAATAATATCCGATTCCTTCATGTGCATTGCAATTTTATGCATATGCCTCCGTTTGCAGCGACTTGACAGTATAGATGAAGCCTTTATTAATGGCGACGCAAGGGACGGAGATCGATCAGAACACTTCCACCAAGGTTCTCGTTTGTTCATTAATCTTCCTCCTTAATTGGTGGTTTCCATTTATGTAAACTAGAAATCACGTTGCTTCCATCCGCTAACTTATGTCTATATTTTTTTTTAATTACTTCAGCTAAACCCGAAGATATAACGTTATGTGAACCCTTTGATCCGTATCAGGCTAATGCTACTATGTATAATCATTATGAAAGGTGATCGCCTAATCAAGATGGATTATGAAAACAGCTCTTTTTTCTTTTGCTTTTAACTTGTAAATGTAACCTATATTCGTTTGCAGATTTGATGTTGAAGGTGATGATGCTATGCAGTTCAACTTCACATCAGGAGAGCCTACACATATCCCCAGCACTTATATACCCTCTCCACCTCCTCAACCAGAGCCTCAAAGAGGCGGTGATGATCAGGCCTCAAGTCTTTTTATTTATTTTATTACTTGCCTATATATATATATATTCCCTAACCCCCGCCCCCCCCCTCTCAGTTCGGCTTATTTTGTTATAATGTCAATTACATGAAGCCAACTTTCTTGTCAGTAAGCTAGCTAATCTCTACACCCTCCATGCAGCCGACGAGATCCACGATGAAAATCTAGAACCCTGGGGTGATCAGAAGGATGAACGCGAGGAAGTTAGGCAAGTAAGTATTTATATGTTTGCGTGCAATCATATTCTGGGGAAAAAGGAAAATGAAAAGGGCTGTAAAATTAAGTATCCTGGAAAATGTGGATGAAGCAGGCGCTGAAAAGAAGGAAAACGAGAAGAAAACCCACTTGTTTGATGGATGATGAAAATACTTTTTTTATTCCTGCTCATGTATATCAGTCCTGGCTTCAAGATGCATCAAATACTTTACGGAGAAGAAAGGGGAAGGTGCCACCCCATCTCTAATCTCTAAGTGTATTCCATTTTCTATAGTATAGAAAAAATTCAATCACTTATAATCATGGATAAACATAAGCTTAAAACTCTATCTGTCAAATTTAAAAGCTAGAGACTGGCAGCCTTGGGGATCTCTTATACTTTTCATGGTGCTTAACAGTTTGGTTCTTTAAGCAAATATGAATCCCACCATGCATGCATTCAGCCATCACTGATTGTACTCAGGCTTACCATTAATGTATCTAAATTATGGAATATGAATTTTAAGCAAGGAACTTTGAAGATGAATATTTGAAAAAACCGTTTGTTATATCAAAATATTACTTCTATACCTCAGTAATTCTGCAATTCACATAAAGTTCCTGTTCTCAGCTGCAGCGTTCCAGTATAACATCCACTGTGAAGATAGCTAATCTCATGGAACTCCCACCAACTGTACTTATGGATAATTTATTTCATAAATATAGAGTAGTCTATTATCCTCCTCCTCTAATGGAATTGTTGAGAAAAAGCACCCTACCCCTTCGCGACTCACTTCCTGGCAAGTATTACCCGTTTAGAAGACTTTCTCCAAAAATATTTGGGAGACAATTAACTGTATTGTTTTCCTTTATGCAGGGAGGACCTCCCCACCCCCACCTCCAGAAGCATCGGAGTTTCCTCTGCTTGAACAACAAAACTATCTGAATCCAATGGATACTGTAAGACACCCAAAGAATTCTCCTTTGAATTTTCTTTTAGAAAACAATTTAGCTAATGTCTAACAAATTGCAAATTCCAAAGCATTTCGAGGATTTTCTTCGTGGATTTGGCTCCCAGTCACTGAATATGCCTGAAGGGCTGCGGTATGCTGCCAACGATATATCTACCGAACTATTGGCCTCTATGAAAGGTGGAGTTGGGGAAACTTCAACGCACTTCATGGCCACACCAAGAAATTCTGGTAGTAGCAACTTCATTCATACTTTGCTACGCTTACTTCTTCACAAAGAAGTCTTTTGAGTTAATGATGTATAATGCAAATGTTTAAAATATTGTTTGCTCCATGTGATTTTACAGGAGGTGATATAAGCTCCATCCCAAGCACAGGTTCTGGACATGGAATTTCTTCGAATAATTCAAAAGTGAATGCCGGAAGGTTAGTATATGTATTTATGCAGGTTAACAATGACTTGAAAGGAAAAGATGACAAATTGACAATCACGTTTTCTGCATTGAGGCAATACAGCGAATGTCCAGTCAAGTCTCTGTACCTCTTTTTTTTCCTTCCTGAAAGTCATCTGATTGAAGTTTTGACTGTCAACAGATCTGACAACAAGAGGCCTTATTCTCCATCTAGACAGCGCAGCGGCAACCTTAGACCTGTAGCGGAAGAGAACTCATTGCACTACATATATCCAAATTATCCTACCACAAACATAGATCCAAACTTCATCTTAGCAAGCGTAGATGAGAATAATGGCCTGACACCAGATCAAGGTGCATGACCTAACAATCCTTCTATCGTCGCTTAAACAGAAGTGTGGATTCGATTTCATTACCTTCTTTCCTCCTTTGACAGAACTACTTGTGGAGACTGGTCCTACGCAAACCCAACTGCCAGTCATCACTCAACCAGTTGACCATATAACCGACTCTATAAAAATGTATGGTTTCTGAAGCCTATTCATCCTTTTTGGTCCCCAAAAACAAACTCCCAACTTTCTTTCACTAACATGCTTAAAGGCAATTGAAGGCACACTTTGATACTCCTGGAGCCCCTCAAGTGGAGTCCCTGAACAATCTAGCCCTTGGAATGACCCGCAAAGGAGCCGCTCAGCTCTTCTTTCAAACTTGCGGTACCTATCCATTCATGATATTTTCCCTGCATAGTGCTTTCACCATCTTAACTTCAATCAATTCTTAACTAACTAGAAACTTAAGATAAATGGCAAAATGAATGTCTGCAGTTTTGGCTACTCGTGACGCTCTAAGGGTTGAACAAAAGGTGCCATACGGGCAGATTCTCATTTCTAGAGGAGAAAAAATGTGATCAAGGTGAGATAATTTTAAAAAGACGCTTAGAGTTGTATTCAGAGTTGCCTCTGTTACAGATAATATCTTATATGACGGTTATCAAACTGAAACACTGGTTTTTATAGTAGGAGTAGTTGCATAACTCGTTTGAATGGGGAATTTTAAGTAATTCTCCTTGGGTTTTGAACAAAAAGGAGATTTAAATAGTCACTTCCACTTTATTCGTCTCAACAGCCCCAATCATACCTCTAAAATTTCTTGGGCAATCAGAAGTTACTTTCCCTTAATTCTGCATGTTGCTAGCATTATTCTTATCACAGCATATATAATTTTCTACCTCTACACATGCAATATATATGTGGCAAATGAACTCTTATCTGTCAAATTTAATCGCGTGTATATTAGCTTTGCTTGAAATGATACTACTTTCTATATTATTCCAGGAAAATTATTTGAATAAATAAATCAGTAGCAAAGGTTATGCAAATTAAACTGCCAAATACTTGATATCATTCATGTTAAGCTAGGCAGGGAAGTAGATAAAATGAAGGGAATAAAGTTGGAATTGGTATCTAACATAAATGAAAAGGGTTTAACTATGAGCAAATTTCTGTGTGTGTGTGGAGAAAAATTCAGACTAAACATGTTACAAATTATCATTTATAACGGCCCAATCTTATCCAAGATACCAAATTAGAGATCCCAACTCTTTGGAAGATCTCTTGTTATGTACTTCAGCAAAATAAATAAATAAAAAAAAATAAACCTGTAGAACATGAATTAAAAGCTGCATTATGGATTTCAAAGCTTTGTAACTTCAACGAACCATAACTGGAGACGACAGGTAGAAGCCACCGGGGATTAGTTGAAAGATTTGGTGGTTACACCTTGTTTTGCACTCCTTAACAACTCACAATTCCACATGTATTAACTATTTAATAATACGATTCTGTAGATGCATGCACATGCTTTCACGGTTCTTAAATTAAATGAGGCTTTTACTTTAATTCCCAATGGCACCATATCTCTAATGTGACTCACTATCTATTTAATTGTTAAAAATCCATTTGAAGTCTCCTAATGCATATTTGGTAAGTTAGTTCCTGTGTTCCAAAATCCAAAACAAAAACGCAAAACGTACACAGATCTCACTTGTGACTGGACCTGCGGATCACACTCAAATAACTGATAAATACAATATCATTTCAGTTTCTTTTCCCTTAATCCTTGTACGTTTTTGGTATTTTCTTTTTACTTAATATAAATACTAAACTAAGTACATTACTAAACAAATGTGTTTGCCCTCATCTTACAAATATATAGTCTGTTTGGTTCACTAACTTATTTGGTTCATATATTCAAGTCAGTAAACCAAATGAGCCCGTATTTTTTTACAAACTTAAAAATTATATTGACTACTAATAAACATATGAAAAATGCAAAGAATTATAATTATCTGATCTAGTTAGATATGTTTTAGTCATTTAGACTATGTAGGTAAGTAAAATGCATAGCCAAAAAAGGCCATTGATTTTATCTTCCCCCTTTTTTTTCCCTCAAGAAAATCTTTCCTTTTTATTATCATATTTGCTTTCATAGTTTTTTATTCTTGTATTAGAACAATGACTTAACTCACCTACTTTATTAGGCTCCCTTATTTTTCTATATATTTTAATGACCCTTCTAAACAACCCTACCCAGTTTACTTATTGAAACCACCACCATCTCTGTTTCCCTCTCATCTCGCATAGTTTTCTCCTTTCCTTCTCTCTCTCTCTCTCTCTCTCTCTCTCTTCTCGGTCAATGTGGTCGCCATGGCTAATGAGATCACCAAGCAGAGCTCCAAGGCCAAAATCAAAAAATCCAACAAGCTTCTCTTGCTCATCCTTTAAGGACATTCAATCCCTCCTCCAAGAAGAACAACCCGAACCCGAATCCGATTTCGGTCTCCTAAGCCCCAGACGGGCCTCCATTTTCCACCGGGTCCGGATCTCCAACTCGATCCTCCGCCTCTGGACGGCGGCCCACAATCGAGGTCCTGCCCACCACTCCCCGACCCTCCCCGACGGCGACCAGAGGGTGGTAATATTCTACACCAGCCTCCGCGTGGTCCGCCAGACCTTCGAGGACTGCAGGGCCGTCCGATCCATCCTACGGGGGTTCCGCGTCCCGATTGACGAACGAGATGTGTCGATGGACGCGCAGTCCCTGGACGAGCTGCAGGGGATCATTGGGTGCAAGAATCTGAGCCTTCCAATGGTCTTCATCGGCGGGAGGTGCGTGGGTGGGGCCGAGGAGATCAGGCGGCTTCACGAGTGTGGGGAGCTGAAGAGGCTGATTCAAGGGCTGCCTGTGGTGGACCCCAGGGGATGCGATTGCTGTGGAGGGCTCAGATTCGTCGTGTGCGATGAGTGTGATGGGAGCCACAAGGTGTATATGGACAAGTGTGGATTTAGGACTTGCGTGGCGTGCAACGAGAACGGTCTGACTAGGTGCCCTTCTTGTTCTACCGCCCGATTTAGGCACAAACAAACGTAGGAAAGAAACACAAATTGCGCAGGGGAAAAAGGAAAATTCTTTTGTTTTTTTCTCTTTTTCTCGTTTGGATATTTATGTGGTTGCTTCTTTTCGTTTTATTTTTTTTCAAGGGTTAGTTCGGGAATTATGAAAAGTTTAATTGTTAAATGGGTTATAGTATTTAGACATCTCCTTAAAAAAAAAAAAAAAATAGTATTTAGACATCATTTAGCATTTTAGTAATCCTTTGATTCGTACTTCATTTATTTATTTATTTTTTTCTCGTAAATTTATTTATTTTATTTGGTAAATATATTTTATTTCTTAATCTCATTTTATGAGTCGGTATGATCTAACGGTAACTTCACACCCATTTGTCTTCAAGGTTCTACGATCGAGTTTTATCACGGACAAAAGACTGCGAATTGACTCTTGATTTAATAAAAAGGGGAAAAAAATCCCATTAATCCATTAAAAAATAATAATATAAGCAATATCCTGACATCTTATTACTTATTTTTACTGACAGTATAATGCTAGGATACCAATTAAATCTTACAAATCTCAATTTTTATATATCAATTAATATGATAGGTGAGTTGTCATATTTTTATTGGTAGATATAATCTTTTTCGTAATAATATTTTAAACACTTATAATATAAAAATGATAACTCACATACTACATTAATTGATACATAAGAATTAAAATTTAAATTGATCTCCTTAACATTATTGAGTATTAATTATGTATTGAAATTTCAATTTACTAATATAGTCCGTAATTAATCCATTTCTATGGTAACGTAAGTCTAGTTATTTATTTGATAACTTACCAAATTTAACGAAAAGCTAGTCCGGAAGTCTTTAACACTTCCTCAAATGGTTTAAAATAATAATAATTTTGTTCATATTGGGTTAATGGTTGCGCGTCTTTCTCACTCTCATTAAAAGCTGTCTTGTGGGTTCACGTGGAACCAACTCAATTGATCTCTTTTTCTAGAAACAAGAGAGAAAAAGGGAGAGCGGGAAGAAGACTCACAAGTCACAAACACTGCAACAAAATTAACATTCTAAATTAATTAAGGTATAGTTTGTTAATTTAAATTTTCAATTTAAATTTATTACTTATTTTTACTGACAGTATAATGCTAGGATACCAATTAAATCTTACAAATCTCAATTTTTATATATCAATTAATATGATAGGTGAGTTGTCATATTTTTATTGGTAGATGTAATCTTTTTCGTAATAATATTTTAAACACTTATAATATAAAAATGATAACTCACATACTACATTAATTGATATATAAGAATTAAAATTTAAATTGATCTCCTTAACATTATTGAGTATTAATTATATATTGAAATTTCAATTTACTAATATAGTCCGTAATTAATCCATTTCTATGGTAACGTAAGTTTAGTTATTTATTTGATAACTTACCAAATTTAACGAAAAGCTAGTCTGGAAGTCTTTAACACTTCCTCAAATGGTTTAAAATAATAATAATTTTGTTCATATTGGGTTAATGGTTGCGCGTCTTTCTCACTCTCATTAAAAGCTGTCTTGTGGGTTCACGTGGAACCAACTCAATTGATCTCTTTTTCTAGAAACAAGAGAGAAAAAGGGAGAGCGGGAAGAAGACTCGCAAGTCACAAACACTGCAACAAAATTAACATTCTAAATTAATTAAGGTATAGTTTGTTAATTTAAATTTAGATGTGATTTTATATGAGATATTTTTATTATAACAAAAAAATTAGATATAACTATTTCTATGAGTTTTTTTTTACTGTAGTAAAATTTAAATTTTAAATTCAAATCGGTAAAAAAAAACGGAGCCTTAGGGTGTGTTCGGCTGCCCAAAAAACTCAAAAGGCAACTCGAGTTTCAACTTTATTCAAGTTCATGTTCTTTTAAATTTGAACTCAAGTTTGGGACTAAAACTCGAGTTCAAGTATCCCCTTCAACTCAAGTTCAGAAACTCGAACTCAAATTAATGAACAATATTTTTTCTATTCTTAAAAATGCTATAACTTTTTTATTTTAATCTTGATTGAGATGATTTTTTTTTCTATGCGTTGACAACGAAAAGATGAATAAAACCACACTCAAATACCTTATTAAAATTTTTCATCACCATTGAGTTTTTATTAAAATACTATCTAAATATAAATTTAAGTTTTGACTCACTCAAACACAAATTCAAAAAAAGATTCTTATCTCAAACCATAACTCAAATGTATACAACTAAACACAAACTCAAGTTACAACTTCAACTCAAGTTATAACTCAAATTTAACTCAAAAACTACACTCAAGTCACACTCTAAAAGAACAGGCCCTTAGTAATTTGAGATTAATTCAAGCCTAATTAAAGATAATTGCCATTGCAAAAGCAGGGGTCTCCTTTTTCTTCCTAAGAGGAACTTTGAAATTTAGGGGCTGTTCGGCAGCTCTTTTTTTGAGTTAAAAACTCTAAAAAAGAAACTCGAGTTATAATTTTATTTAAGTTCATGTTCTTTTAAGTTTGAACTCGAGTTTAGGACTAAAACTTGAGTTTAAGTTTCCCCTTCAACTCGAGTTCAGAAACTCGAACTCAAATTAATGAACAATATTTTTTCTATTATTAAAAATGCTATAACTTTTTCATTTTAATTCTGATTGAGATGATTTTTTTCTATGCGTTGACAACGAAAGGACGAATAAAACCCCACTCCTATACCCTATTAAAATTTTTCATCAGCATTGAGTTTTTATTAAAATACTATTTAAATACAAATTTAAGTTTTGACCCACTCATACACAAACTCAAAAAGATTCTTATCTCAAACCATAACTCAAATGTACACAACTAAACACAAACTCAAGTTACAATTTCAACTCAAGTTATAACTCAAACTCAACTCAAGATTTACACTCAAATCACGTAACTAAAAAACGGTAAAAGAACGAGCCCTTCGTGTCGTCTTATTAATAATAACACCACTATATATATATATATATATATATATATATATATATATATATTGAAATGAAATAAGATGGTTAAGTCATGTAGAACGCAAAATCCAAAAGAATTTATGGTATTCTAGTGGGCAGCTTCGAGTCCATTTCCACAAAACTTACCAACCAATACAAATGAATCTCAATCAACTATCATGACAGTAATATCAGAATTTGATGCTATGAACAGAAGGGTACACACAAGGAAAATCCGTTGAATTAATATATCGATTAATGGTCGATGCATTTGAGCAACTCTTTAAAGTCTACTACATTTTGCTTATGCTACATGTAAATCTAGCAAAAGGTGCCGAGTTCAACCACAATCTCCCAACAAGAACTACCAACACCCTAAACCATGTCAATAAAGTTGTTTCGGCCGTATTTTGGGCTTTCAATAAAGTTGTTTTCTCAGCTAAAAACACGTCATTTAATACAAAATGTAAAATTATCTGAAAACCGTACGAAATTAAGAGGCTGACAAGAAAATGGGCTATACCACAGTAAGCCATGTAGATTCCCCCTCCAAATTATTATTATTATTTTTTTTTGGCTAAAATATCCGAATTACAGTATAACTTAAAAAATTACCGAGTGAAAAATAATTAAAGAATTCCTTACATTAGAAGTATGGGAACAACCCAAATTGGTGGTCGTTTAACCATCCTCGAAAAAGTAGTACGGTCTATATTATAATGGAGTCCACAACTTCCACTTTCAATATTGTATATTCCCAGATCAGAACCCTTGCTGAAATTAACACTAATATCATCATGACTAAAAAATATATGCAGTTTGGTTTGCAACCATTGGAATCACTAGCGGAAACAGATATACTAGTATTGTCACCGACAAACAATGCAGCACCATTTAGGCTTTTGATCTCAACCCACTTTCCCTCGTCTAAATCCGTTTCTGTAAACTCTGAACATTGATGTGGAACGATTTAGATTGTCGTCTATTGAAATAAACCGTTCAACTAGCATGAGCTCTCCACATGATACTACAAGATATCTTCTATTACATGTGAAAACTGGAAAATTGGGTGTAATGTGCTTTATAGTGGAAGGGTCTGCTGTATTGAAAGATATAAATTCACCTTGAAAACCCAAAGCATAAATCTTATTCTTGTAACGCACAATGTCGTCAAAGTACTCTTACAATGCAATTTTGGTCCATGTGGTGTCTTTGTTATATCTAAAGAAAGCTATTTCACAATCTTCGCCGAACGTCACAACAATGGTGCAGTTGTCGGGATTTTCTAGCGGATCGGCCGTAATTAGTGTTGGGAAAAAACACATTCCTACACTCACACAATTAGAAAAATAAATTGAAATAAAAATAACAAAAAAAAAAAAAAATAGAGAAGATAAAGATTTAAGTGATTCGGAAAACTTTCCTACGTTCATGAAAGAGGGAAAAAAACTTCACTAACAGTTTCATACTCCTACCCTTATTCGAATCTGACTTAGCTACTAAAACTTGTTCAGTATGAGGGAGATGTTATGATAAGAGAGATGATCGTTCTCAATCCCGATCAAGAAAGGATATTGAGTGCTACTATTGTCATAAGAAGGGTCATATTAGGAGAAACTGTGAAGAATTGACAAAGCACCTTGAAGAAAAGAGAAAACAAGAAACTCAAGAGACTTCAAATTCTGTAAATATTGTTGGCGACAAGTATGCTTGTGAACATGATGTTTATTCTGATATTGCTGATGAAAATATTTCTGACTTTTGGATCTTGGATTCTGGATGCTCGTTTTATATGTGTCCACATAAAGAATGTTTTGATTCTTATAAGCCTTGTGATGCCGGTACTTTGTTGATAGCCAATGATTCTAGTGTTAAAGCTATTAGAATAAGTACTGTAGAGGTGAAGATGTTCGATGGAGTTGTGAGGAAATTGACAAATGTTAGGCATGTTCCTCAACTAAGGAGGAGTTTGATTTTTTTAGGGGCTTTAGACACTTTGGGTTGTTAGTATTATATGAAGGGTGGTTTTATGCA